AGTACTTTGAAGGTGAAGCTGCTGCCAGTTAATTACTGCAAATCTACAGTGAAAAGTTTTACAATGTACTGAAACTAAAGTCACCAAGATTCCTGACTTGATTTTTAGTTGTTTGACTCCTAGAGTCTAGGTATACATTCACCTTCAGAACTTCATCTTTGTTTGTAAATGCAATGACTTGACAATTGTGTTCTCTTTGGTTAAATGAAGAAAGTTTTGCAACATCCAACTGTTGATTTCATCAATGCATTGGCAGAGACAGTCAAGGCTAGGCTAGGTAAATCTGGGTCTCATCTGCATAGCTGTGATATGCAATCTTGTTCTATCTCATTATTTGACTCAGTGGGAGCATATACAGGTTGAACAATTAAGAGTGGTGCAAGAATTGAGCCTTGAGGGACTCCATATGTCATGGACATCCACTTAAACTTAATGTCACCTATAATAACCTTTCCCTTCTATATGGCCTGAACCATTTGAGGACCATCCCAGAAAACCTGACCCAGTTTTCCAGTCTAAGTATGTTGTGATCAACAGTGTCAAATGCAGAACTGATATTTTGCCAGAATCAGTATTTAAGAGAATATCATTTATTATCTTTAATGTTAATAACATTTATTAATAAATGATGAATTTTCCACTTCTAAGAGATCAACTTCTAAACAGTTAAACACACTTTTGAAAAAAAAAAAATGTAGGAAGTGTGTCAAGGCAGCAGGTTGACATTTTAAGGTGCTGTACGGTTTCTTCTGAAATTTTGCCATCAATTGCTTTGAAATCAGACATAGTAACTGCTTTCTGAAATTGTGGTCGATACGTCTGAGTGCAATGTGAGGATGTGCTGATCGCCTATCTGAGAATCTGACTTGGGGGTTTAGCAAAAAGAGTGAGTGTTGTTCAACTTGCTGTTTATAAGGTTTGAGAAGAAGGTCTGTCTAGCTGTGCCTAGTTCCACATTGAAAGCATGAAGGCTGTCTTTATAGATGTTATAGTGAATTTCAAGTTTCGTCTTCCGACCACATGCTTTTCTGCATTCTTTTCATGCTCTGTACTGCTGTTGAGTTTCTCCGAGGTGCTTTTTGTTTGCCAGTCTTTATCCTGACTGACATCGATAACAGTCTTAATAACTTTTGAGTTAAATGAATCAAGGAGAAAATCATCAGAGTCTGTCGTTATAGCCTTCATAAATAGCACACTAGTGTTCTCATTTATGCATCACTTTTTGTGACAGACACAGATCTAGTTTCAGTGGTAGAAGAGATCAATACATCAAAGAAAACACAGAAGTGATCAGATGCTACGTCCTTAATGACAATAATGGATGATAATATTGGTTAATTATTATTAATCAATAATGATTAATAATGGATGAAATGTTCAGACCCTTACTGATGAGTATATTTTATTTATTTTTTAATTAGAAGGACCTTTTCCACTATACTGTAAATAAACTTTTTGGATGTTAAAGGTTCCTCATGGAACCACAGGTGCCAATAAATAATTTAAATTTATGAGAGTGTCATTCCTGGACAAAGCAAACTCAAAATACTTTGTGACAAACTCACCGCAAAGGGGATGTCATTAAAAACACGTAGTGAAGAAATGAGAATTCTGTAGGTAATAGGTCCAGTTTATTGGAGATGTATTACTTCACCTAATATTTGTATACCATTTAAGACATGAGATACTTCTTTTGTTGATTCTGACCAAACGGTAAGGTGGTTCGCCAAGCCAAGGAGACGTCCTCTGCATTTCGCGAGGTGATCTTGAAGGCATCGTTCTTCGTTCCCTTGCCCTTCCCATGGGTGATGCGGTAGATCCACTCCTGCAAAGTTTCGGTCATCTCCAGCCCCACAAACTCATACATGGCTTCGATCTCGGCCAGAGTGTTACGTGCTAGATCCTCGTAACGTATCATTTTGTAGCGTCCCCGTAGGAAATCGGGCGGCTTTAACATGGCCGTCTCATAAATGCGCACATGACTGCGGCAAATCTCCTGCAAGACCTTGTATGGCTTATCCTGTTCCGGAAGGCTCGCCTGTTCGAGCACTATGGCGCTATCTTGCACCAGGGCATAGGCCGACTTCTCTCGGGAACGAAGCACCGCTCGTGGGTCACGAACTAGATGGATGATGCGCAGATCCAGAGTGGGGTCCTGCAGTAGCGGGTACAGCGACTCCAACTCGAAGAAGCGCACCTCTTTTAACACCACATGGCTGTAAGTCCGACACGCTGCCTCCGCAAGCTTCAAACCCTGCGAGTCGCAGCGCTGCTTGCATTCTTGCTCTTTGCTAATCTCGTTGCGAGCTGTGAGAAAACAAGCGGGTGGAGAGCAGAGCGCGTGGCTGTGGCTCCACATGAAGAGACTGGAGACATTGCATGGCTGGGGGATGTAAGCGTCCATCACCGACATGTCGCACTGAAAGACGCTGCGAATCATATCGCGCACCGCCATTCGCAAGCTACGTGCACCGGCTTGCTTTATAGACATCCACACGTGCCAGCCTGGCTCCATCAGGTAAAAGACCTCCGGATGCTGGTTAAACACCTGGCCCAGGAATGATGAGCCAGACCTCCAAGATGACAGCAGCAGCACATGCACCTTGCCCTCGGACAAAGAGGTGTTTTGAGATGGTGGACGGCTGTACCATCCGTACAGAAGCACCATTGCAACAACCTGAATTAGCAAAAGACTTCGCACAGTGGGCTTCGACACTCTCCACCACAGCATAATGTCAACTTTACTCACCTGCAAAAGCAAGCACATTCATACTTTAATGGCTGGTTCATGTACTGGTGTTTTTATGTGACAAAATAATATTCTAGTTGTAAATGATTACTTACAATGGCTTTAACCCTGTAAAGCTCGACATAGGAAATAATAGGCAGAGAAATGCAAGGTTTTTTGAACATTTAGGTTAAAAGTATGCATATGTGATTGATTGATTTATTGTTGAGTATCATATTTGATTCATCAGGGTTTTGTGGCTCTTACAGTCAGGGATGGGCAGTATTTAAGATACATAGTATTTTGTATTTTAAAGGGTTAGTTCACCCAAAAATTAAAATTCTGTCATTAATTACTCACCCTCGTGTCGTTCTAAACCCGTAAGACCTCCGTTCATCTTCAGAACACAAATTAAGATATTTTTGATGGAATCTGAGAGCTGTCTGAAACTGCATAGACAGCAAGGGTCCTTACACGACCAACGTCCAGAAACATAGCAAGGAGATCGGTAAATAATCCATGTGATATCAGGGGTTCAACCATAATATGTTGTAATGCTAAAATGTTTGTTTTCAACTTCCAAATAGGTATCCAGTGATTGATAAATACATATTTGATTGCTGAATATTGCTGAATATTGTAGCCTAATAGAAGTAGCCGTTTAGTAGGATCATGATTTTGCATACCATTGCATGAATGACTGCCTGGCATATAAAATATTATTATATTTATAAATTATAAATATATACACAAATTATAAATTATTAATTAGTTAGAAACAAGTTGCTATGAATACAGGTGCCATTATGAATTACTCGTTTGTCATTGAGTCAGTGTTTCTGATGCAAAGTAGGCCCTTCATTACCAAACACCAAGTAACTACATTAGGAGGATATAATGGAGTCCTTCGCGAACTGTTAAACATTAAACTGTTGGTTACTTTAAAACTAACCTTCATCTGGGAGATCACAGGGATGTGTGAATATTTGATCTATTAACTGGTTGCATGTCAGATTTATTGCATGACTCTGGCAGAGAAAAGCTGTTTCTATCAAACATTGGTTGCTTAATCAACTGAGGGAGGAATAGATCAAACAGACCAATTGATGGAAGGTTTACAAAAGGCATTTCTTGCTCCCTTGTAAATGTATTTTTTAGTATTTTTAAAATACAGTAGTTTATTTTGATAGTTGTTGTGGCTGCTGTATTTTGTGGTTTATTTTGATACACTTAAAATTAAGGTATTTGTTATTTAATTTTAAAATACATTTTGATGTATCTTTGCCCAACCCTGCTTATAGTATGATAGTGAAGCTTATACTTGAGAGAAAAACACTTAATTTATTCAGGCTCAAACTGAGCAGAAGTATGCAATTTGGTGCAAATTTATGATCAAAGCTCTAGTTTTAATTTAAAAGGTTCTTTTTTTTTTTTTTGGTAACAAACACTTTTCTTACATTTACTTTCTAAAAATTAGTAAAGATTTCACAGCAAAAAGGCATGTGTACCACAACCTTAATGTGGACATTTTTACAATTATACTAAAAGGACTTTTACTTGGTAAAAAGTATAAACTTTAGATTAAACTATCATTATTAAATATGATTTACAGTTTTTTATATGATACAACTGTACTTTGCAATTTTAGTTTTCTACTTTAATGAACTGAAAAAAAAAACACTGACTGGTCAACACATTGGGGCATTGCTATTAAACGCCAAAGAACAACTAAAATGAGTCTGAATATCAAGGGAAATCACATTTAGTACTTCTGGAAATACTTGATCAAAGTAAGAAGTTAAACCAGCATATGATCAGACACTAAACGCACAGATATTAAATGAAATGCAAACGAAAATAGAAAGGCAATGCACACTGTACCAATGGAAAACTTCACTCTGAAAACAACTCAATGTGCGTTCAACTCAACATGTTAATGTTCCTGAGCACTCTCAAAACATGCTGCTTTCAAACATTTTTAAAGCGACAGTTTACCAAAAACTCAAATTGCCATTTATCCAACAATAGCGTAACGTCTAGCAGAAATTACAGCAGAGGTCCATGCGACTTGCAGGCTATTGTCCAAGTAATCAGAGACAATATAATGGCTCAGGCATTGAGTGAGGCACAGCGAAACCAGTTTCAGTCAATAATTTCAATTTTGGTTTCTTCCTCAAACAATGACATTGTCGCAGAATGTCACTTGCGGCAGTGGTTCCCAAACTTTCTGCAGCATGCACCCTCTCTAGTGTTTCATACATGTCAAGCACCCCCACCACCTTACTCCAGTTAAACACCACATTCTTAAATGCAATAATACACATAATCACTGTATGCAGGGCTTGACATTAACTTTTTTGCTCACAAGCCACTGTGGCTAGTGGTTTTCCAAAATGACTAGCCACTCAGCATTTTCATTGGCCACAATTTTGATGTTGGGAAATTACATTTTATATAACTAAAGTTACTGCATATTAAAATGTATTTAAATTGATTTCCAGGTCATTTTTTGCCTATTTAAAAGGATATTTTTTTTACTAACCATATTAAATGCATGAGTCATCTTCAATATCAAATTCTTACATTTTATTCATAATTTCACTTAATATAATAAGACACTACAGGACTGTTACCAATCAAATGAAATCAGTATTAACAAAACCGATCTTTCCACTGCAGAATAAACAGAAGCAGCTGAAGTGGCCTTTATATTTACACAGGTTTGCCTATTTAAAAGGATATTTTTTTTACTAACCATATTAAATGCATGAGTCATCTTCAATATCAAATTCTTACATTTTATTCATAATTTCACTTAATATAATAAGACACTACAGGACTGTTACCAATCAAATGAAATCAGTATTAACAAAACCGATCTTTCCACTGCAGAATAAACAGAAGCAGCTGAAGTGGCCTTTATATTTACACAGGTTAATGAAGCTGAAATGTAGCATGAATGCATTTACATTGCAAAATTATAATTAGTTATGAGCTTGGTGTTTTAAATCAGTCACTGCCGCAACATACCGTCTCACCAGATGTGCCTCTGAGCATAGTGCATCTGTGATCAAAGCTGAATTTCAGTGTCACATTAAATCATTCTAATATGCTGATTTGCTGCTCAAGAAATTATCAATGTTGAAAACAGTTGTGCTGCTTCATATTTGTGTGGAAACAGTGATTTCTCAGAATTTGATGAACAAAGTTCAAAACAGCATTTTTTTTAAAATATCAATTTAATGCATCCTTGCAGAATAAAACTATTAATTTCCTTTTAAAAAAATCTTATTGACATCAACATTTTGAGCAGCTGTGCAATTTTATTGTGAAATATCTCCCGATTGTTTTTCTGTCATCTGAAAAGCATTGATCTGGGGTTTGTTTCCCAAATGCATCGAGCCTAAGCTGATCGCAGACACCAGTGGTGGGAATGGTTTCTTAAGATCTACTTATGCTTCTGATCAGGCACGTGCACACATAGACATCAAAGGTGCCTTGAGCACCTGCCCTTTCTCTTTTCTCGAGAGAAAGTGCCCTTTTTTCTGGGGAGTTGTTTTGGAATGAAGGACTGAATGACATACCGCATACTGTGCATTTCTTTCACTGCATGATTCAGTTTATTAAAATGCATTTAGAATGATCACAAAATTGAAGATATGGGGGCAGAAATGTATATTTATATCATCTTTTTCCACCAAAGAGCAGCATGATTACAAATGTGATATTGATTTTACACAGCAGTTCAATAAACAAGAATTCAATATTAAGACACTTACGTTTTAGACACAATATTGACTGTTTTTGCGCTATTTCGCCAACAAATATCATTCCAATTTGCATCTCTGAGCAACATGTTCCTGAATGAATCAACCGTTTAAATGATTCAGTTTAATTGCAATGACTCACTTATTATCAGTGACTTGCTGCCACCTGCTGGCGGTTTTAATTTCACATTTAAAGTATCTTTTCGTTTAAAAAAAAAAAAAATCTTAAAATATCAGTATTCAATGTTTTAGGTTTAAAATATCAAAACAGTATTAATGCATTTGTAACTGCAGTTTAACAGCGTGTTAAAGCATCTAAACGCCACTTCAGATGCAGCTTCTGTGTTTCCTCTGCATTGCAAAGGTTAATTTTGTCAATACTGATTTCATTTGCTTGGTAACAGCCCAAATGACTTATTCTTCTAATTGACTGATTCAATTTAAGAATTTGACTGAAAAGATGATGCACACTTTTAGAAAAAAAAGGGCTTTATAAAAGTTAAAAATCTATTTAAACTTATTGAAAAAGATTCATTTCTATCACTGCTGTGAACGGATCACCACACAGAATATGCAGAATATCAAAAAACGTTAGGAGTCAGCCGTCCACGGTAGTCCTTAAGATATCAGCACAGTAACACTCAACAAAATACCGTCTAATTATCGTTATAGATAAAATCTCAGAAAATATTGAGATTTTTTGTCAATATTGCACACCCCTATTATATTTAACGTTTTGTTTAGACATTTTTTTTTGAATGAATATGAGAAGTGCCCTTTTTTCCACTTGAGCCCCTGCCCCTTAAAATGTCTGTGCAGGTCCGTGCTTCTGATGCTTTTGGGAAACGCACCGTCTGTGAGCGAAGCGTCAGCAGCGAGCGCTGTCTGTGATTGATTGGTTCGGTCTTTCAGCATTTGCGTATGTTACATGGTTCAATCCTACACAATTATTCGCTAACATAGTCTATTTTTCCACTTAAAAGCTTTTTTTATTATGCACCAGATTTCTTGCTAAATAAATAAAATTATGTGAGGATCGATCCTTTCGATACAACATCAGTATCGAAATTTTTTTTTTTTATTATTATTATTATTATGCTTCCATTTACAACAAACAAACAAGGTACACAAACATCACATAATCTAACAACACGTGAACAGCCTCAGGTTGAGCATAACCAGTGACAAACAAGATCACAATAAACCAATCAGTGTTTCCCCTGCCATTATTTTAGGGGGGGGGGGGGGGGCCCCCCCCTTGGGGGGAGGGTTTTTTTTTTTTATTTTTTTTTTTTTAGGAATAAGCATACAATATTTCTTCAATGTTTTAATTGTAATATTACAATTACCTTTATTTTCCCCCAAAATTAAATTGATTTAATTTTCATTACTTAAAAGATAGATTAAATGAATGTTTTATGCCTTAAAAAAAATTTTAAATACACAATTTCTGAGCAAAGAAATCATAAGGCTATTGCAAGAATAAATTAAACTTGTTTTATGCTTTCAAATAATTAGACGTGCTAAAACAGAATTTGGTTACAATAAAACATAAGGTTGGAAAAATAAAACATTGCATAGGGCCCTAAACATGTAATATCTGTTAAACTTTTAATACATTTATGTTAAATTGTTTACGTTTCATGACTTTAATTCATTCTACATGCTTTTTGATTAATAAAATGTAATTTAACCATTAAAAAGGAGTCCAGAAGAAAAAAGAAGCCGTAAACCTAGGGGAAACACTGCAATAATAAAGAAGAAAAGAAATAAATAGAACAAATAAAACTAACCAAAAGGGGCTTTTTACATTAGTTTATACATGTCCCAAAAACGAAATCAATTCGAGAGCTTTCTTGTTTTTAACCAATTCTAAAGATTTGCACAATTTGAACCGCGTTCATCCACTGGTTAAAGCTGGGTTTAGATTTAAACCATCTACATTTATGAATGAACAGCTTTCCAAGACAAAGCAAGAAACATCAGTATCGAAAGTATCGATGCTTCAGGATCGATCCGCCCATCCATACATACCGGCATGTGCCAATGGCTTCCGCGCGCCAGATGCAATAATGTTAATACCCTACAGTCTCCATTTGCGCCTGTGCGCATTATAACACACAACCTCATCTGCCACATCAAAATTGGGTTGTTTCTCACATAAAGCTTTTGTATGGTTACCGAAAACTTCCGAAACAATTTATTTTATTTAAAAAATTTTTTTTTTTTTTTTACAAAAATTAGTATATCATACCGGTTTGGAGAACCATCATGAGGGACTTTGTGACGACAGGATTTCCATTACTTGGTGAACTGTCGCGTTAAGAGCGTTGTACACCTGACCGAGAGAAGCAGGTGGGAAATGTAGTGTGATCGATGAGTAACACGACCAGAGAGGGAACGGTGAGACATCAGTCACAAGCAGACCAACAAACCCTCTGTAGCGATTCATCGTTTGAGCCAGCAAGTGTTTCTACATTATAATTACTTAAATAATATTCTTGCTACGTTTAGATGCGGTTAACATCGCCAGAGAATATAAACGCGACTGCTCCACAACCATCCTCTTTAAAAACTTCTAGAAAAGCAACACTCCCGTCACAAACCGGTCATTTTAAGAGTCCCTCCACAAATACTTTGACGAAAATACATATTTTCATGTAATTCTGTAGGAGAGGCTGCATATTATTAAAGCGTGCCTTACCTCCTGCTCAGCAGTGCGTTTGCGTTCAGGGACAAAACGTTTCTGGCTGTATAAACTCTCTGGATGTGAAAAAAGCTTTGAGACTTGGCCATTAAGGGTGATTGACGGCAGCTGGGCGGAGCTCCACAGTGAGTAGCCTTCTGTAAGATGCTCTCTCAAGAACACTAAAATGAGATGAACTTCTCAGAGTGGACGCTTTATGTCTCCTATTCCATTGTGTTATCAATAATACAAAACTCATTTAAAACGCGTATAGGTGTGATGCAACTACGTGTACTATACTACACAAGACACACATTGTTATCTAACTAACCTAGCTATATCTGAGATTTCCTACAAAGTGAATATACACCAACTAAATCGATGTAAGATATAAATTCACATATTCAGAAAGAGCTACATGCGGCACATTCTGTCACAAGAATGAATGAAACGGGGAAAACATTGCATCTGTATCCCAATCACTGTCCATTGTGCCAAACTTCCTGTGCTTGAGAATACTGAATGTGTATCTGGAGCCAACTGAGACAAGATAACCATAAGCAAACATATGATGCGCTTTTGTTTGGTTTGAGTCAATGTTAGTTTAAAAGCATTTTATTGACAGTCAATCCATCTATATTCTTTTTACTGACAATAATCTTCCAGATGATGTTTATCACATTATTTATTGTAACATAGGCTGTCAAATGGCAACATTAAATATCCAAACTCAAAGCATGTACCAAAACACCATGCTAATATTATGAAACCTTTCTGCCTTTATGGCTGACAGCACTAATGAAACATCAAGCATAATAATGCAACTGTGTGTTGATGAGCATTAGACATTTAACCGTTACTCGTGAGGAATCAGTAATTAAGAAAAACGTCCTTCTGAACGTACACCTCAAGGATTTGTCATGGCATTTGTGGATTTTTAAAAAATCAAACAGCACGAGTTCTATGAGGCCATTTTATTCAACCTGAGTTCATCAGTTAGTTTAACTCGCTTATAAAACACGCTTTGTTTGAGGTTTGACTTGAAATATTTCTCTTATCAGACTTTCCACACAACAAAGAATATTTTGTGCAGTATGTGGTGGAACACGAAGTACTTTAAAACCAGAAAAAGCAGCGATTCCACAAGCATCCTGGTGGGAATTCCTTATGAATGCACTCGAACTGAACAAGGAGAGCTATGTATATAGAAAAACAATAGCAAACACAAGTCCTCAATAACAAATGAAGGTCCTCATAATTGTACAATAAAAAATAAAAACACACAAAAAATGTCAGGAGCTGTGCTGTTTAAACGGCGCTACTGCGGTGGTTGGTAAAACCTGGTTTTGAAAGACGAATGTTTGAATGTGCTGGAAAACCCAAAGAAAGATGAGCAGGACGCTGACATACTGAATCCAGGCAAACTTGATCATTTCCCAGAAGCCCGGCCGATAGGTAGAGAAACCAGTAAAGGAAATTAAACTTGAACTGATCAAATAAAACACGAGTGGAGAGTCTAGGAATGCACAGAAGTCAGGAAGTGACTCAAAGTCACTTCATGTGTCATGAGAGTTTGGGCTCTAGCAACAAATTAAAAAGCATAAAGCAACAATTTCCTGTCAATGCGTTTTTTTGATCAAAATCATGTTATCTGAAAGAAACTTCAGATTTACTTTTTTCCCTTATGAGCTTGGTGTTTTAAATCAGTCACTGCCGCAACATACCGCGACAATGTCTCACCAGATGTGCCTCTGAGCATAGTGCATCTTTTATTTTTTTTATTGGAATCAGGATTTTGTTGTAGACCAGATGGTTGATGTTAGTAACCATGCATGAAACAATAAGAACATCTACTATATACCCTCAAATAGAGTATCTTTTACAGCAAAGGGATAGTTTCCCCAAAAATGTTAATTCTGTCATCATTTACTCACCCTTATGTTGCTCCAAAACAAGAAGTCTCTTCTGCTCACCAAGGCTGCATTTATTTGATCAAAAATACAGAAAAAAACACTAATATTGTGAAATATTATTACAATTTACGGTTTTCTATTTTAAAATACTTTAATACCAGATGGTTGATGTTAGTAACCATGCATGAAACAATAAGAACATGCACTATATACCCTCAAATAGAGTATCTTTTACAGCAAGGGATACTCTATAAAGGGATAGTTTCCCCAAAAATTTTAATTCTGATCAAAGCTGAATTTTCAGCATCATTACTCAGTCTTCAGTGTCATACGATCCTTCAGAAATCATTCTAAAATGCGGATTTATTAGCAATGTTGAAAAAAGTTGAGCTGCTTAGTATTTGTTTTTTTCTTAATTCTGTCATCATTTACTCACCCTTATGTTGCTCCAAAACAAGAAGTCTCTTCTGCTCACCAAGGCTGCATTTATTTGATCAAAAATACAGAAAAAACACTAATATTGTGAAATATTAATACAATTTACGGTTTTCTATTTTAAAATACTTTAATATATAATTTATTGCTGTGATCAAAGCTGAATTTTCGGCATCATTACTCAGTCTTCAGTGTCATACGATCCTTCAGAAATCATTCTAAAATGTGGATTTATTAGCAATGTTGAAAAAAGTTGAGCTGCTTAGTATTTGTTTTTTGGAGGGGGGAGGGGGTCCTGTGATACTTTTTTCAGGATTCTTTGATTAATAAAAAGTTAAAAAGTAAAACAGCATTTATTTAAAATATAAATATTTTGTAACAATATACACTACCGTTCAAACGTTTGGGGTCAGTAAATTTTTTTTCTTTCTTTTTTGAAAGAAATTAATAATTTTATTTAGCAAGGATGTGTTAAATTGGTAAAAAGTGACAGTAAAGACTTATTTATATTGTTAGAAAATATTTATTTTTTGTATAAACTTTTTATTCATCAAAGAATCCCGGAAAAAGTATCAAGGTTCCAAAAAAATACTTAGCAGCACAACCTGTTTTCAACATTGATAATAAATCAGCATATTAGAATGATTTAAATATTATTACAATTTACGGTTTTCTATTTTAAAATACTTTAATATATAATTTATTGCTGTGATCAAAGCTGAATTTTCGGCATCATTACTCAGTCTTCAGTGTCATACGATCCTTCAGAAATCATTCTAAAATGTGGATTTATTAGCAATGTTGAAAAAAGTTGAGCTGCTTAGTATTTGTTTGGGTCCTGTGATACTTTTTTCAGGATTCTTTGATTAATAAAAAGTTAAAAAGTAAAACAGCATTTATTTAAAATATAAATATTTTGTAACAATATACACTACCGTTCAAACGTTTGGGGTCAGTACATTTTTTTTTCTTTCTTTTTTGAAAGAAATTAATAATTTTATTTAGCAAGGATGTGTTAAATTGGTAAAAAGTGACAGTAAAGACTTATTTATATTGTTAGAAAATATTTCTTTTTTGTTTAAACTTTTTATTCATCAAAGAATCCCGGAAAAAGTATCAAGGTTCCAAAAAAATGCTTAGCAGCACAACCTGTTTTCAACATTGATAATAAATCAGCATATTAGAATGATTTCTGAAGGATCATGTGACACTGAAGACTGGAGTAATGATGCTGAAAATTCAGCTTTGATCACAGGAATAAATTATATTTCAAAATATATTCAAATGGAAAATTGTTATTTTAAATTGTAATAATATTTCACAATATTGGTGTTTTTTATGTATTTTTGATCAAATAAATGCAGCCTTGATAAGCAGAAGAGACTGATCCCAAACATTTGAACAGCAGTGTATGACTTTCTTTCTTTAGTGGAACCATGTTGTTTGGACCCCAGAGCTCTTCAAAATAACTTCTTTTGTGTTCCACAGAAGAAAGCAAGCATGGAGATTTTCATTTTTGGGTGAACTATGACATTTACAAAAACTGTCTCTCTCTCACTGAATATTTAATACATATATGTGACCCTGGACCACAAAACCAGTCATAAGGATCAATTTTTCGAAATTGAGATTTATACATCATCTGAAAGTTGAATAAATAAGCTTTCCATTGATGCATGGTTAGTTAGGATAGGAGGACTATATTTGACCGAGATACAACTATTTGAAAATCTGGAATCTGAGGGTGCAAGAAAATCAAAATATTGAGAAAATCATCTTTAAAGTTGTCCAAATGAAGTTCTTAGCAATGCATATTACTAATCAAAAATTAAGTTTTGATATATTTACGGTAGGAAATTTACAAAATATCTTCATGGAACATGCTCTTTACATAATATCCTAATGATTTTTGGCATAAAAGAAAAATCAATCATTTTGACCCATACAATGTATTTTTGGCTATTGCTACAAATATACCCCAGCGACTTAAGACTG